GTCGATTGAAGATAAAACATCTCATCATCGATGAGACGGAAAGTTGAGTGTATTTTGATACAAATTAATACTGAAAGAACTGATAGACAAGAAATGCGTGGGTGAATCATGAATATGTTTACGGATTTAACAAAATTGACAATTCACACGGCATCGATTATTTCATGAAATAGAATCATTTCATTTCAACTTTAACATCTGAAGCTTGATTTTGTTTTAATTGGGATGTCCTTAAGCAATAGATGGGCTGGCTATTTGACTGTTTGACTGTCATAAAAGTTAAGGGAAAATTTCATCTGCTGCTGCATCAAATGCTTCTTTTGTAGCAAGCAGATAAACTAAGTCTTTGTAAAAGAAGAGATAAGTCGCATGGTGTACTCATACTATACATACGATTATCTCAGTCATTAGTCAGCATGGCGTTTCGGTTTGAAGGGTGGGGCAGCCGTTGTAACTATACTTGAGACCTTAGAACTTATATCTTAAGCTGGGTGGCGCATTTACGTCGTAGATGTGTAAGGGCTCCAGTTACCACTTAACACCAGGTGGGCTGTGAGCACTTCCACCCATCTAAGCAATAAAATAATAAAAACCTTATATTACCTTAACTTTATCTTAAGCATCATATCAACTTTGGATGCGCATTAAAAAAAGCAATAAAAAAAATAAAAAAATATACACACACAAAAATATACACGCCAAAAGCATCAACTGGAATATTCATATAAAATTAAATTCAACAATTATGTTTTGTAAGAAAAGCTAAAACATACCGTTCGATGTAGCTTGAGAAAATTCCAATACATTTTACCTGGCACTAAAATGTCGTACGCGATTTTTCCACGTACACTTCGACACTATCAAGGAAAATGAAGATGGATTGATCCAATTTTGAATATACCGGTGTGTCAACTTGCGAAACGATATCGAAGGCGGCTGGAGAGAAATTGATGAAATACGGCCGCTCTCCCCCGACAACTGCACGACAGATGTTCTGCCATACTTTTCCATTAGCCAGAATATAAATCTTCATATGCACGTGAAGTCACTGGTTTTGTTATAAAAAAAATGGAAAACGGAATACCTTCGATGAAAAATTTCATGGCCAAAGTAAACTTTTATCTTTATGGAGTTCGCCTTTTGTTTTACTTTAGCTTTACAGCTGTAACTACTTCCTACAGAGCATCAATCAATTTAACTTACATACGTGCTAGGCATGTTCGTTTACGGAATTAGTTTTGTTACATAATATGGCAAGTCGCATGTCATTAAATTTAAACTAACCAAAAGGGAAAAGCCATACCCGAAATTAGCATGGATTATTAATAATCTATATAATATGTTATACTAATTATTAATATTATTATCTAGGTGCTAAGGTTGAAGGTCCAGTATATGAATAGCTTTTATTTAAAACAAACAGTGAATTAATATAGAAATTATAGGAATTTAATTGATAGAATAACCTTCGTTAGTGACTTCATTTTATAAATCTGTTGTAGTATAAAGTCATATTTACTCATCCTTGCTCGCTTGTTTCGGTTTCAAACAGAATGACGAATAATTAATTAGGGAAGCTAAGGGTGTGTCGGTCAATGAACTGCAAATAGTGAGCAATTAGCTGCTAATTGAACGGACAATTTTTTTCCTGAAACTTGTAACTTTACTGGACAAAACACGTCTAAGAAAACCATGAATTAAATTTTGGAATAACATGATGTTACTTACATTTTTTTGTAATTGAAACACCTTGTTACGAGTTTGGACTTGATTTTAATTGAAACTCAGAGTAGTAGTTTATTCAATCAAAGTACCTATTTTATATATTAGCGTAGATAAGTAAATTAATTTAGGCGTTTTGTTCTTAAAAAATCACCTAAGACGCTTTTGTTTGCGGTACATTTGGTAACGTTGATTAAAAAAATACCTCAAGAATGATGTTCATATAAAATTCCGGCCTTTTTGTTTTATGTATCCAATTTAAGAGTAAACGCGAGACACGAATTTCAGGTTAGATGTGAGGCCCGAGAAAACAATGTCTAACTAAGCAGAAAATCAGTGAGAGTACCTTATTATTTACTTTGAACAAAAATCTACGGTGTACGGTTGACAAAATATTGTCATATTTTATTAATTTACCGTATAAGTGGATGAACGAGCTTACGCCCCACTTGGTGTTAAGCAAACCACCACCCACCATGAGGTCGCAGTGTTAATTGTATTGTATGATCACTGTCCCACCCTTCAAATCGGAAGACATGACTGCTTTTGGCAGATATAAACAAGATGATGGCACCTGTCCAGATAAATCACAAACAGTACAATATTAAGCCAAGGTATACATTTTTTTTTTTTTTTTATAAAACAAATACATTAATTTTGTTTACATACATAAAATTTAAGACACGTAGACGATTTGTCTAATCTCGAATGTTAATGTCGAAATATTTTATCAAATTTATCGTCTGAAAACAAGGAAAATTGTTACCTGTTTTCAATTATTGTTTTGGAAGCCTACTTAATTACGCTGTTTCATCTATCTGATTGATCTATATCTATACTAATATTATAAAGAGGAAAGATTTGTTTGTTTGTTTGTTTCGAACAGGCTTCGAAACTACTGGACCGATTTGAAAAATTCTTTTTCCATTAGAAGCCGACGTTGTCCCTGATGAACATAGGCTACTTTTTTTTCATTTTTTTTTATTTATTTTTTTTGGTTTCATGTGTGTTTTAATGTTTCCGAAGCGAAGCGAGGGCGGGTCGCTAGTTTCTAATAAGAAGACAACCGCTCAACATAGTTAAAGCAGCTAAGTAATTTTAATTCATTTATAATTAGGAACGTCTATGTATGAGTATGAGAAAATTACGAATTCATTAGGCAGAAAGGTCTAACGAAGGTCCGAAATACGAGCCAGACTTTGTTGTTTAAGTCCCTTGAATTTTGAGAATTACTTCAACTGAAGGTATAATTTATTAGTAAAAAGTCCCGTGAATTATTCATATGTATAGGTCTTTTTAATACGCTTTTATTAGCTTCAGACGTATGTATGTTTGTAACGGAATCTTTAAACATGATTTTGAGCCCCTTCAAAACGTCGGATTAACTCGAAATTTGGTATACCTATTAAGGACCGATTACAATTAAATATTTTAAAAAAAATTGAAAAATTGAAATTCAACTAAAATATGAAAAATAAATAAATTAAAAAAAAACACTTTTATAGAAAATCCAACTAAAAAATAGAAAATATATTTTAATAAATTGTAATTAAAAATAGTGTAAGAAAAAATTATTTTATTGTAAAAAAGCGTGGGATGCTTTTCAGGATATTATCAAACTAACCCTTCTACTCAGATCTGTTCATAAAATATTTATAACTATTGATACCATGCACTATGTATCCCACGCTTTTTTTTACAATAAAATCATTTTTTATTATACTATTTTTAATTGAAATTTAATAAAATATATTTTCTATGTTTTAGTTGGATTTTCTATAAAAGCGTATTTTTTTAGTTTTTTTAAACTAATATATATTATATACAATGTCGTACAGGTAAATTTATATGTTACAGTACGTATTTGTTATTACGTATAACAGGACTTATCTTTGGACTCCGGAAACAAAGTTATTGTATACGTATGCTACGTGAGTGCAATATGTTAGCATTGATACTTCCATAGCGATCCAATCTGGCTTTTCTATTATGACCGAACCATTATGAAATGAGTATGAGTTTTATTTAATAAAAATAGACCTTAATTAAATAAAATGTTAATCATTAATTTATTAAATAAAAAATGGCGACTATATTATCAGAGCAAGGTCTAACCTAGTACTTTCTTTGCCTATCACTAATCACTGTCTCACACCACCTAACTTCTTCTACTTTTGGCTGTAATTTGCAACCAAATCTTCTAACCTATATGTCAAAGATCCACGCCTTAATTTATGTGGGTTCTGGTGGTGCGGACTTTAGCCCTTTGAATCTTCTGACAGAATCAAATGACGCTAAATCCAGCTGACGATAATGCACATTGTGGTTCCCGGATTCTGAAATGATCTGGTCTCTGGACTTGGTACCGCGTAGATCGTTCCTGCAAGCAAGTATTACCCGGGCTCCGCGCTCCGCTAAATCTTTTGCTGTCTCGTATCCTATACCGTTGTTGCTTCCGGTCACTATCACCACTTTACCAACCAAATGCCTGCATTTATTTATGCCATATGTTAACTTACAATACGTTCTATAAAGTAACGCTAATATGAGGTTAAATACAATAAAACTAATTAACACTATCGGTGACTAAAGGCACTTCTATGGATAGGATATAATAAAGGCTTTTTTTATTAACAAAATGCAAAAAGGGTTATTTTGGTCATTGGACATTTGCCAACCAAAAACAGGGGTTTGATCATTGTGAAATGAGAATTTCAGTTGGCAATTGTTGTCGTAATTTGCCAATATGATATTATTTCTTACATTATTATTGGAAAAGTAAAAATAAATAGATGCATAGTTTTTGAGAGCAACATTTAAGAAAGATGCACACGTTGAGTGTACTATTTTATCAATATTGTAGTTTAATTTTTTTTACAAAACCTTACCTAGTATGTAACGCAGCGAATAATCAGAAAATTAAGAAGGCTCTTGTCTTGTTTAGGCCTGAACTAACCTATCAAGCGATCGTAGACTTTCTTCACCCTTTTTTTTTCTAAATTTACCATCCAACTCACTCATTCCTTTCGGTAGGCAGCGGCTTGGCTCTGCCCCTGGCATTGCTGAAGTCCATGGGCGACGGTAACCACTCACCATCAGGCGGGCCGTATGCTCGTCTGCATACAAGGGTAATAAAAAAAAAACTCCTAAGGAATTCCTAAGAGGGATTAAAGTCACGCAATTCACTAGTAAGTTAAGTCAAACTAAAACATGAAAATAAACAATGACTTTTGTACCGGCCACAGCTAGCGGAAGAAAATAGACACATTGATACTCACTAAAAGAATTGGAGCGCAGTTGCGTAGGTACCGGCGGGCAGAGCACGTCGCTTCCCAAGCTGTTGACGCTCACTACGTCACGAAGTTCACCGAGCGAAGAAGAGCGAAGGGTGGGCAGCGAGAAGTTCACTTCTTTCGTCCTGTTTTTAATTCAAATAATTCACAGTTAAATTTCAGAATATATAAACAAGCTATTATTGTAAATACTGGCGTATTATGTATATGAATAAGAATTGACTTCCACGGTGAAGGAATAACATCGTGTAATAAAAATGAAACCCGCAAAATTATAATTTGCGTAATTACTGGTGGTAGGACCTCTTGTGAGTCCGCACGGGTACCACCACCCTACCCATTTCTGCCGTGAAGCAGTAATGCGTTTCGGTTTGAAGGGTGGGGCAGCCGTTGTAACTATAATTGAGACCTTAGAACTTCTATCTCAAGATGGGTGGCGCATTTACGTTGTAGATGTCTATGGGCTCCAGTAACCACTTAACACTAGGTGGGCTGTGAGCTCGTCCACTCAATTAAGCAATAAAAAAAAATAAAAAAACCCCCAGTTGGGCTGTGAGCTCGTCCACCCATCTAAGCAATAAAAAAAAATTATGCTACGCGGCTCACGTTAGTAACTAAACAGTTGATGGTTCTATTTATCATCGTGGTTTATGTTTTTGCCAGATTTATGTTATTCACCGACAAATATCTTACTTACCGGTAAAGCCTTGTTCGGACTAGGCGAGTATTTTAGTCGAGTACCGGGTAATTTAGTAGCTAAATGTGTCTGAACACCAAAAATTTAGTCGAGTAGGTTAGTAAATAAGTTAGTCAAGTCAATCCATTTTGTTCTATTTTTTCGGGCGAGTAGTTTAGCCACTAAATTACTCGGTATTCGACTATAATACTCGCCTAGTCCGAACAAGGCCTAAGTGCTCGCTAATCGATAAATTCGTGGTTTTAGGTTTTTACGTAGTGATATTTCACCAAAAGAAGCAAAGCACTCAGAAGCAAAACCTATAAATACACCATATTTTAGTATCACTAATAAAGTATCACTAAACGCTGCTAAAGTTAACGCGACTGGATATCGTGGAATCAACGAGCGGAAAATTCAATGTGGGTGACGAAATGAAAGGAAAATGCCGACGATTGATGAGCGCGCATTCCTGGCAGCTCAGAGAAGAAATTGATTACTTCCTTTATGAGGAATATTAGCTGGGTATAATACGTTTAAAATGTTGTTTATTTATCTATACTATAATAGTATAAAGAGGAAAGATTTGTTTGTTTGTTTGTATTGAATAGGCTCCGAAACTACTGAACCGATTTGAAAAATTATTTTACTGTTTGGAAGCTACACTATTCCCGAGTGACATAGGCTATAATCTTTTTTTTGAAAAAAATAAGGATCCTTAATAAAACTCCAATAATTTAACCCAAGGTGTAAAAAAATTACCTAAAATATTCTTTACATCGCACGCCCTGCGAAAATTATTGATGATAAAACAAAATAATGTACTACGACTTTGTAGAACACATTATTATTTACAAAAAGTGTCGCGACAGCATATGCCTAACTATAATAGTTATGCCGCAATAAGTGTTCTTTTATTAAAAAAATTAAAACAACGTCAAATATCATTGAAATTTTTGTTAAAGACCCGAGCGGAGTCGGAGCGGGCCGCTAGTGTTTAAGTAAACGAATGATTATCAAGGCAAGATCTGAAATGAAATCCAATGCGTGGCATTTCTATAGTCTCACATGTCCTTATTTAAAATGGTTTAAATAGAGGTATATGTGGTAGGCTTGTTCCCTGGAAATGCGTGTGGGCAACACTATTAGATTGGTATAGGTGATCTATAAGATGATATGTCTTCAAAACCAATATGTTTCAAATATTATTAAATGATGATGACTGTACATACGAATCTTATTTTAATATTTTGAATTTACTATTTTAAATCAGAAATCTAGTAAACATTTGAACTTTTAAAGAGTAAACTTTAGAGAAACGCAAACTTTGAAGTTAAATTGATAGTTAAAAATTCAACAACGAATATATATTTCTTTGAAGTGAGCGTAGTTTTAACTTTTTTATTAAATATCAAAGTACCGATTCATGCATAAACTGTTCATTAGTTTTAATGATTAAAAAAAGAACTAATGTAAAAAAATAAATAATACATACTTCGTTTAATAAATAGTTTGAAATACCCAATGTGTTTATTTGTTTTATCTCAACACTTCTACTCTGTTACCCTTAAGTTGATGTTAGGACAGATCTTATCAAAAAATTAGAGGAAATTAGTAATTGTAAAATAGAAAATGCTCTACAAACGCACGCAGACTGACACTGGAAATGCACTATAATTTTTTTTTTTTGATATCTGTTCGGTTGGTCACGACTAGTAAATAAAAACAAATAACACCATTATTTACTTTTTGAATGTCCCAAATAACGAAAATGTGTAAAATAATCACTTTCAGATACCCATCCACTATTAGATACACAGGTATAAGCGAGTAGAATTTTTGTATTATTAGTATATAGTTGAATCTGGGTACATACTTTTTTACTGGTGGTAGGACCTCTTGTGAGTCCACACGGGTAGGTACCACCACCCCGCTTATTTCTGCCGTGAAGAAGTAATGCGTTTCGGTCTGAAGGGTGGGGCAGCCGTTGTAATACTTGAGACCTTAGCATTTATATCTCAAGGTGGGTGGCGCATTTACGTTGTGGATGTCTACTATATTATTATATACTATAACTTGACCGTATCGTTTTGCGATCTGAAACATGAACTAAACGCGTTCGCAAATGTTCGTTAATTACAATCCCGTTCCGATGACATGGTTCCTTGTACTATACTGCGATATGTGTTACAAATGACTGATTGATTTCCGTGTTGTCTCCTCTAGAATAACAATCCTGCTTGTAAATTTTATTTTTCTTTCGTGAATTATGCGGTACAACAAAATATGCTACATTGGAATTAAAACCACTTTTACGGATTAATTTCGTTTTTCTTATTGTCTTTATAATTATTTCTGAACTTTCGTATGCTTTACAGTTTTGTTGAACACAGACGCACAGTACAGGCGTATATTTGTCCATGACCAAGAAAACTGTAACTTACGAATTGTCCTTAAATTAATGACATTTTTTCGTGAATTATGCGGTACAATAAAATATGCTACATTGGAATTAAAACCACTTTTACGGATTAATTTCGTTTTTCTTATTGTCTTTTTAATTATTTCTGAAGTTCCGAATACTTTACAGCTTTAATGATCACAGACGCACAGTACAGGCGTACTTTCGTCCGTGACCATGAAAACTATAAAGTATGATTTGTCCTGAAATTAATGACATTTCTTTCGTGAATTATGTGGTGCAACAAAATATGCTACATTGGAATTAAAACTACTTTTACGGATTAATCTCGTGTTCCTTATTGTCTTTTTGTATTATTTCTGAAGTTTCGTATACTTTACAGTTTTGTTGAACACAGACGCACAATACAGGCGTATTTTCGTCCGTGACCATGAAAACTATAAAGTATGATTTGTCTTTAAATTCATGCCAATAAAAAACACGATTTTTAATAGTCAATTTAGATTTAATTATGTCTACGTCTCAGAAAAACCGATTTACTTCAGTGTTCCAATTGCATTTATAATAATTTATATCTAACTCGGTTTATGGTAAACAACAAAAAAAAAATATGAAAATTGTCGCAAGCCGTAGTGAAATCTACTTTTACTCCTTAATCCCTGGTATTATCTTATTGTGAAGATGTAAAACAAACTGTCAGACCTCAAGACACTCTTACCCCTTTCTGTGTGCACAGGAGCCTAAAAATTATTAATAACAAATACCGTTGTTAGCACAATGTTGAAATATCTACCTATAAAACATGCCGTAACAGTAAATTGGACATTAGAAGAGGTGAAAACCAATTTATGTATAAAATATTTTATATAGGTAAAGTTCCGTTTGCAGATTGTTTTGGCGGAAGCACTTCGAATATCATTTCCCAAATACCGAATAACACAAAAGATACCACTGTACTCATAAAGGCCTATGTCAGACAATTAAAAAGTAAAACGTGTCGAGTTGAAATAAAGTTGAATTTAGCATGTCCACGAAGGCTAGACCTTACATATTTTATAAATGTATTAGCTTGTGTTTAATTTTGGTCTTATTTAAAAGCTGTCCTCTGTCCCTTATCTCTAGAACTCGAAATAATAAACCTCTTCAACGCCTACGGAGCGGTTAATCTTTCAGGGATTTGCATTTGATTAATTCTAATTGTTTTTTGTAAAGCGTTTTTAATAAAGATTGTAACGACTAGGCAATTGCGAAAAACGTTTTAAGATTTACGCTCCAGTTTGTGACAGCTATTTTTATTAATACAGATTTTTTTGTTTAGATTTCTCGAATTTCCTTAATTAATGGTAACGAATTATAATTTGAATATGTTTTGAATCATAATATTTGTATCAATAGCCCTCTTGAAATGCAGCATATTACTGCTTCGCGGCATAAATAAGCAAGGTGATGCTACCTATCCATATCTCCATGATAACCTGGAGCTTGACTCAATCAGTAAGTATATTAAACAGTCGGCATCAATGCGCCACTTTGAGAAGGCGGCACGAGACGATAACCCTCTTGTCGTGTGTGGTCGCCGTAAATTATATACCTGATCCTGTGGATCGAATGGTAAACCGTATCTCAAGCACCGGTTACTGTCCTCGCCGAACCCGTCGCTTGCGACGAAGAGCTCGACGAGTAATTTAACCCATAAACACAGCCCAATGATTTTCTCACCGGATCTTCTCAATGAGTTGCATTTCCGATCCGGTGGTAGATACTGCAAAGCTCTTGCTAGGGCCAGTGTTAGCAACGTTTTCTGCTTGAACCCCGAGAGCTCACCTACGTGCTAGAGTAAAGCTGAAATAACCTCTCCAGGCTATATAATTTTTGCAACACTTCTATGTGGAATTCATTCGTGTACATTTATAAATACGTATTTCATTAGTAAAATTAGTACATGGCGGCCGAATTTGAACAGCGGTTTAGTCGTTTAGGTTAATGTATGAGTACAGTGGGCCTTTCCTTTAGGGTACGAAGATCATATGTTTACAACACTAATATATCTATAAAAAATCCTAATTTGAAGCCCCAGAACGTGGCTTCCACGTTCTCTTCCAGAGAAAGAGAGAGAGAAAGAAAATTATTCAAAGAGACAATTGTTTATTTCAAAATATTCCGTTTTCTTGAAACCAAAATACCCTTTTGTTTTAAAAAAAAAACTTTCAAAATTCACAATTTGATAATTTCATTTCTAGGAATATCAAAAGTTTTGACTAGAAAACCGAGTAAGTAGTAATCAAAAGAAGACCTAGAAATGACCCTTAATTTATGAGTTTATTTCGTTTATGATCAACTCGCGTGTAATGAATTTAATAATAAATCACAAAGTTTCCTATTAATTCTAAAAACTCAACCCAGGTTAAGGGTAAGATTGAGTTTAAGATTCACATAGTGAACCAGAGTCTCGTGTTAGGCTGTGATATTGCTTGAAATTAACCCGGCTTTGAAATTTAAGTCATAATTTTTTCATAGTCTTATTAAAGCTGAAAATGTATTCATAAAAAACAAGAATACTGCGTAAGGTCAACGACCTCATCACGGCCAACCTGATGTTATGTTGTTACCAGATCCTATAGTAGGCAAAGTGAATGCCACCACCCACATTTCCACATCAGGGCGAAGTTTTATTTGCATTGTTTAACAGTGGCCAGACCCATCAAACCATGACTGGTTTTCGGTAGAATTAGGCATTATTGTGGACTTTTCATTACGCCATCACAGTACCCAGTCGACAATCTATATTAAAATTCAATAGTAGAGAACATTTTTAAATTTAACATGCGTTGTCTTGTTGGAAACCTAACAAAATGGTATAAAACCTTTTTTATTGTTGTCGTTGTGGTTTTTGACATTACATTTGAATATGAATTTTGGAATGTCTCAGTTTTGTCATTCTCTTTTCATCCGTGCTATTGCACGCGATTTATAAAATTTTAAAAATATACAAATTTTATACGTACAATCCTCGCGAGTTTATTTATCAAGTTTTTATTTTTTTTTATTGCCTTTGTAGGCAGACGGGCATACGGCCCACCTGATGGTGAGTGGTTACCGTCGCCCATGGACTTCAGCAATGCCAGGGGCAGAGCCAAGCCGCTGCCTACCGCAGTTCCTTGCCAATCCTAATCATACAGTCCACTACAGTCTTTTTTTTTTAAGTAATGAAAATTATAAATTGAATAAATACACAGACGCAAGAAAATGTTAGAAACTTACAAAGATACCACATGGAGAGTTAAATACGCTATAAATCGTGATATTGATACTTAATGGCAGAAACGTGTTCAGTGCTGTCCTCCATTAAAGCCATTAAGTTTCTATTAAATAGCACTTATATTATAACAATAGCCACTGTGATAACACATTTTGACTAGCATCAAGATAATGTGGAGAAAGTTGAACGGCTTGAGGTATGTACAAGAAAAACTATGATAATATAAGCTTTTAGCACTTAGCAAGCATGTTATGTAATGTTATGTCATTTCGATGGAGTCATTGGTGGATATATCATTAAGTCTATTCGTGCCGTATATTCCAGTTTGAAGTGTAAGAGTTATTAAAATTTAATTATACGTTCGATGTATCTTATGTGGGGCGGAATTAACATATAGGTATTAACTTAAAGCATTCGATTAGTGATTGAAGCTCCAAATTACCAATCCAAAACCATTATATTAGACATCTTTTTTCAAAACTTCAAGCGCGAAATTTTGACGTAAACATCTAAATGCATTACGAGTAATAGGCAAAGGCAGAAAAGTTAAGTGCCATTTTTTCCCTCTTTTAGTTTTAGTTTTATTTATTTTTATGTGTCGAATTTTTTTAGTTCTCATTTTTTTAAATGTTAATTGAAAACGAATATTTAATATAAAAAATCGATTTCAGTCTTGAGGTAGTGGTGATGATGGGATTAAGCTGAATTTCAAATATTGAACCAACACTGGTATTATTAAACAATTGTAAGTAGGATTTGTAGGAGCAAAGAACATCTGCGGTATGTAATGCCTAATATGTATATATATATCTATATATATTTTATTGCTTTGATGAGAAGACGATCTCACAGCCCACCTGGTGTTAAGTGGTTACTGAAGCCCATAGACATCTACAACGTAAATGCGCCACCCACCTTGAGATATAAGTTCTAAGGTCTCAAGTATAGTTACAACGGCTGCCCCAACCTTCAAACCGAAACGCATTACTGCTTCACGGCAGAAATAGGCAGGGTGGTGATACCTACCCGCGCGGACTCACAAGAGGTCCTACCACCAGTAATATTAGTAATATTAAAAATACTTACATATAGCAAGGGGCTGAGATGTCGTGTGGTGGATACACCAATATCGGGGGTGAAGGTGTAGGGGACGGGCTGTTCTTGCGTCGACGAGCCACGAATACTCCAGCCATCACAATCAAAAGGACCAAAGCCGCACTTGCACCACCCAAAGCCACGAGTACTGCCTCTGTTAAAAAATAACTCTTATTCCAATGCCATTAAGCATGCAAAGATATACACGTGATCTTTTTTATAGGGATAATCTGTTCTGATAAATCTTATGTTAGAGGATGTCTGGTAGTGGTACATGTGACAGAGAAGCTGAGAAGTGCGCGTTTGGGATTGTATGGACATGTGATGAGACGAAATGAAAATGAGGTTGCTAAGAGAGTGTTTACTATGAATGTGGAAGGATATAAAGGAAGAGACTAGACCTAAGAAGAAATCGATGGATTGCGTGAAAGACGATAAGTGTATGGAAGAAGAGTATGGAAGGAGAAAACATGTTGCGCCGATCCGAGGTAACTGGGAGAAGGGTAGGAGAATGATGATGATATGAATCTGGGCTTTATTGTCTTAGAGGTTTTTGGACTTCGTTCATGATGTAATAATTTACAAATCGGATTATTATGTACCCTTTGATGTAATAAATGAATTAGATGGTATTTATTTTCAAAATGCATGACATGTGGACAAAGTCACTGATTAACGTGTGCTTAGTGACTGGAGCCCATAAATGTGGCACCGACGAACTAGGGTCGTTGAAAAAAACATAAGAAGGATCAATTACATTGCATTATCAGCTGTCTTATTATTCGACCTCAAAACTTTAGACATTCATGCCGTGGAAATGTGTATCGAAATGTCCAATAAGATTATGAATTTGTGAATTAACTAATTTTAAGTTTTATCGCATATGAAAATGTTTCAGTTATTAGTACCTAGTCAGGTCATAAATTTTGTCACATGTTTAATGTAAAGTAATTGAAACAAGTTTATTTATTATGTAACCATTCATATACCAAAATGAACTTAACAAAACATAGATTCTTATGACACTAAAGTTATTCAAAATGACCTCCGTGATTTTGAATACAGGCCTCCAATCTGCGCGGCCAGTCGTCTATCGCAGCACGAACGAGGTCCATGTCAATATCGGCGGCTGCCTTAATCAAGGATGTCTTGAGTGACTCCAAATTGGGATGAGGCTTTGAGCACGCCTTTTCCTCCAAGTGTTGCCATATCTTGTAATCTAACGGATTCAAATCTGGACTGGAGGAGGGCCAGTCTTCGTGCCGGATGAAGTCGATTTCACGCGCCGCCAGCCAGTCTTGTGTGCTCTTCGCTCTATGAGCTGGCGCCGAATCTTGTTGGAATACCCAGTGCCTGTTATTGAACATGGTATGAGAAACAGGTTCCACAAGGTTCGTCAGGACTGTATTTTGATACACAACTGCATTCGTTTTTACACCTTTCTCACAAAAATGTACCTCTGTTAAGCCCCAATAAGAAACTCCCAACCATACCATGAGCGAGGATGGAAAATGACCTCGTTGGACACGCGGAATACGGTTGCTCGCTTCTTCACTACTGTGTGCGTACACCTTATCATTTTGTTTGTTGTAGCTCTCTTCTACGGTAAAAATTTTTTCATCCGAAAAAAGAATTTCCCGATATTTTTTTCCCGCGTACCGCTTCAACAAAGCGCGGCATCTCTTCAGTCTCAGGTCCATTAGACGAGCATTCAAACGATGTCCTGTTTTTCTTCGATATGCCCGAAGCCCTAAGTCTTCATTTAACACCCTTTTCACCGTGGTTCTGCTTAACCCCATCTGAAGGGCCAACAGTTTCTGCTTACGTTTGGGATTTCTTTGAATTCGCGCCTTCACAGCTTTTATCACTGCTGGAGTCCTAACAGACCGAGGGCGACCACTTCTTGACCAGTCATCTACACTAGAGTCTTCATAGTATCGTTTGATGGTACGATAAACGAATCTTTTGGTTATATTCAAAATTTTCAGTATGTTAAAAATTTGAATTGGCGCGTAACCGCAACGATGCAACGCAATAACTGCAACACGGTCTTCATTAAGCGTCCACTCCATATTTAAAAATGAGTAAAATTCTAAAAGTATACATTTTTATTTTCATGAACAATTCGAAATTCGAATTCAATAAACTTTTTTGTGGCCAGCATTCTAAAAGAAAAGTTTTTACTGTGTGACAATACTTATGACTTGACTAGGTATGTATACATTAATAAAGTTATTACTAATTTTAATAAATAAATAATAAAGTGAAAAGAGTAAAGCAATGATGAAATATCGCCCTACATTCCCTTGGTAGATAGGGTTGAGCATCCAAAACGTTGGCTTTGATCCTGACATAACAATTTCATTTTACGCCGTCGCGTCGGGTCGTTAACCGGGCTTATTGAAAGAAAATATCAGCTCGCGTCAAAATATATTTTCGCTGTGATGATCATACTAAACATCGACCAGACTATTGCTATGCTCTGAGGAATTGTTCGAGATGATACCGGCGTCTCATTTTTATCATCGCACCGCCCGTCACCGGAGTAGAGTTCATCCATACTACCTGGAGCCACTGCGGTCATCCACAGTGCGTTTCCAGAGGTCTTTTTTGCCACGTACCATCCGGCTATAGAATGAGCTCCCCTCCACGGTGTTTCCCGGGCGCTATGACATGTCCTTCTTCAAACGAGGCTTGTAGAGAGTATTAAGCGGTAGGCAGCGGCTTGGCTCTGCCCGTGGCATTGCTGAAGTCCATGGGCGATGGTAACCACTCACCATCAGGTGGGCCGTATGCTCGTCTGCCTACAAGGGTAATAAAAAACAAACAAAACATAACTGAAGTTAAAGGTCTGAGGAAATATGAAATGGCGATACGGACGCCTTTATCGTCTTCATTAAATCCTTCCGTTTACGAGACACGTCGTGAAACGCCCACAAGTACTAACAGTAATATTATTTCGTGAAATATTTACTATACCACTATTATTGGTATTGGACACGTAATTCGGTCAGGGATTTTATATAATAACACCGTGACCTGTACAGAAGATACAGAATTTCAAATCCTGCTACCTACTTGCTAACTTAAGACTACTTCTCTCTATTGCTTGTCTTTGACGTTGAAGAATTTCGCCTTTCTATGAACTTTTCTGGTGGTAGGATCTCTTGTGAGTCCGCACGGGTAGGTACCACCACTCCGTCTAGTTCTGCCGTGAAGCAGTAATGCGTTTCGGTTTGAAAGACAAGGCAGCCGTTGTAACTATACTTGAGACCTTAGAACTTATATCTCAAGGTGGGTGGCGCATTTACGTTGTAGATATCCAGTAACCACTAACACCGGGTGGGCTGTGAGTTCGTCCATATAAGCAATAAAAAAAATTACATCTCTATTTTGCCAATCTCGCGATAAAAAGAGACTTAAAGGCCCACTATAACTTGGGAAGATTGACTTGGGGAGACTGATTTAATATCTTGTAAAAAATAACTATATAACATCCAAGTTGAAGGAATCATTAAAATGGTTGATTTTAGAACCATTTACAAAGATAATCGTAGAATTTTTTAAATGAAAATATGCTTCAGACTTTGTTTAAATATACGAAAATCAACGTAATGTTCATGGATTAAGAAATTCATTGCTTCAATATTAATATAGTGAATCTAAAAAAGTGAATACAATTTTCTTTGTTCTTCACGAGTCGTTGCGATAATTTGATACTAATTTTACCGCTTAATTAATTTTTATTATTGTAATATTATATTATTGTCGACATCATTATTACTTACAGTTTTCGTGTTCATAGACGGTAGTTAACCCGTCATTTAATTATGTGAAAACTAGTTACATATTTAAATGACGGGTTAATCTATTGTATCTGATATCTATAGACTGGGATAGAACTTGAGATGGAAAGTGAGTTAGCTTACCTCTGTACGCATTAAAAACTTTTGCCGACCGTCTGCCTGATTCTACCTTTACTTTACCTTACATAGAAGGGTCAGGTTAGGTTGAAAATTAAATAAAGATTTCCACTGCAAAGTCAAAATTAGGTAAACAAAGGTCTCATGCCCGAAGCTTTTTTGTGAAACCATTATTACGCATTCAAACATCTTTGTAGTAATGAGGAATGTAAAATCAAGAATAAGTCATAAAATTTGCAAGTAAAAAATATGAATATCCCGAAAGATCATAGTATCTTGTTTAATTTCAACGCGACATTGGCAATGTGTTTTATTATTATTTAAACAATTATGTTCAGAATAATTTTCAATAAAAAAACTCACCTCGTAAATTCACAGCATTAGCTATCGAAAATTCAGAGACGGAGCTTGTGGTAGGAGCTTTTTCGAAGCTCGCTTGGATGGAAGAGCTTTCTAGGTGCCCCAAAGCTTCGACGGGTTGCGGAGCTACTGCTTCGTCGTAGTCTTGGTGCCGGTCGTAATAATCTTCCACCTGTTTTGCATTTGCGTCTTCGCTGCCTCCGTATTCAGAATCGTAATCTGTTAGAATAATTTATTTTGAAATTATGATTTTACTTTGGTATACAAACAGAACATTAACTCTATGAAAGAAAATAAACGAGAGAAAGGTGTGGGTACTTGAGTGGAAAAAGAGGACTTGCTGCGTCGACCTCACATAGTGGGAGAAAAGAGAGAAAAAGAAGAAATTATAAACGAGGTGATTGGGAACGCTCTCTAAGGAAGGTGGACAAACAACACTAGCTAGTGTGGTTGATTTCTCATATGTTAACGTAAAATAACGTGATCAATCCATATTATGTATTAAAAAAAACAAAAAAGTATTCATACTATAACGGTTTTTTTTCCTGTCTCACTAATACTCAATCGGAAAGGTATTACTCTATTGTCTATTTAGCATTTGGAGTGAACCATTTACACTCTAAAAAGTAGACGGAGGTTAAATAGAGGCAAAAACGATCACACCATATATTTTTGTAACAAGAAAATCAAAAAAATGTGTTAAGATAAATATAACTTTAAAACTGCCTGTAAAAGATAGGGACACATTACTTTTATAACAAAAGGCTTTTTCTGTGTTACGGCATTATTTAAAGAGCAACGTCGAAGAAAATACAGAACTGAAAAATTCCACGCTCAGGTTCCACGTAAAAGAATATTAAAACTTTCAGAATAGCCAATATGACCTATATCCGTTAAGCTCTAAGGCTTAAAATAGGTCGGCTAGTGATAAGAAAACAGTAATGTCAATAACGTGCGCTCTAATGGGATAAACCAGGTGTGAAGATATGAAAGCAATGCAATATGATTTTAAAGTGTAAAGAAAGTATCTCCAAGGGATGACATCGAAGGATATTGGCAATTTGACGATAGTAAAACTTTATATACAAGTGAAATAACATTTACATTTACTCAGCTATTTCATTTTTCCACTGAACAAGACGAAACATGTTTCTTTGGAGATAAAACTCTCGAAAACCAACATTTCCTAAATAATATAGACAATAACTGGTCGCCAGAATGCCTGAATAAGGTAACCTAAATGCTACCATCTACCTTAAGAGTCTAAGTCGAATTCTCAATATAAAGTATTCCAATAACGACGGTTTCTTGAAAATTGGCATGCATGAATTCTACCCGCTAGAAATCATATCGCATCTTTTTGTTTCTACGTCGTGTGTATTGGGATTAAGAAAAGTATCATCCAAGTGATGAGTATACTGGTTGTCAATTTAAAATTGGTTATAAATTCATATTAGTACGTAAGTAAAACTGTTCTAAGTATTCATAGTGAACGCCGCAATTACTACAACTAATTTAGATTATATGTACATATTTTTGAAAAGACCACAAAAAATTATGTTCCCGACGAAAAACAAAGACATATTTTCGATGAAAGTCTTTCAAATTATTCTCTGAAATCCGAAGTAAAGAGATGGAATTTGAATTATAATGGGGCTTTATTCAAAACGATTGGCTTCTAATTTTCATCTCGAGAGGATTGACAGCGTTGCGGAATTTGTGAGTATAAAATTCCTCTTTGAACGAAAATATGTTGTTGTAGCTAATATAATATAGGTTAAATGTCTTTCTCAAAATATCTTGTTCGGAATTTTAGATTACTATAAATTATTGAATTGGTTTATATTTATGACAAACCCATGAAAATTTGTTAATTTAAATTAGTGACCGTGAAACATTTTAAGCCTTTGGTGTGTGATAAGCTAAAGTTGAAGATTCTTAAGTCTACGTCTACTTTTGTACGTAAATTTTTGCGAGTGTCATTTTATCAAAGTTGTTTGTATCATCCGTAAGGTAGGTTTCACCAAATAATTAAATTTCATAACTTATCGTAAGGTTAATAAAGGATAATTGTGTTTTTATATATATGAGAGATGGTACCCACCTGAATATCTCTCCTGTTCCCTTAATATTTCTGCGGGGTCTACCGGCGGTGCGTACCACGGCCTCCGCGAGTACACCTTCTTACTCGTCACTGTCCGATCGCTAAGATCAACGTTCCGATAACTTGAAGGAGACAGGTTTAACATCTCTAAGCATCTGTTGATACCTGAAATACGAGTGACTATGAATGACCTGAGAAAAATAGCAAACAATAAACATTTTTTAGTTGATGATTTAAATTGAATTCAAATGCAGAGTTGCTCAATCAGTCTTTTTCATATCCATATTAATTTTAATTTAAAGATTCAGAATTTCAAATTTAGATAGGTATCTAAATTAGACGAAGGAACCTTTCATAACATTTGTAGCGTTGCCAATTTTGATTCAAATGCTATGGGCTGTTACGATTTATAAAAGTGAAATACAGTATTGAATCAAGTTCAGTAATTCAGAATTATTTTCAATAGTAATAAATTTCTAGAAAAGTTATTCCATACGATGTATTTAAAACAGAGTTTAGTCTTGATTAAAAAATGTTATTAAACAAGTTCTCGAAAAATATATTCTTAAAGCAAATTGTTTCATATTTTACTGTTGTTTTTCCTTACGGATACGGAAATATTGAGTCGCGAAGTTTCACGTCAACGACAAATTGCAATGTTTTCGAATGTCAACAAATTCTTTTTATAAATCTAATATGGATTTCCATTATGTTATCTGGGTTTATCCGAAATAAAATTATTGTTTTTGTAATACGATTTGTCTTCTGTCAACCTATCTAATTGATAATCTTAGATACGAGTATTTTCCTGTTTTCTTTTTCCCAACATAGACCATGAAAAATTTTGAATGTGACTACGAAAACTTCTTTTAATTGTTTTCATTGCTTCTGTTTCATTGAATGAATGAACTAATAAAGGTCAACCATGTGATAAGTTATTATCGAAATCCATGAAAACCACAAGGGAATGATTTCTCTTTGAGACATGAGGTTCGAATCTCAATCTATTCTATAATAATTGTTCCAATCTACAGAATGGAACGTATGCGCGACACAAAAATGATAGAAATAACTTCACTATTTAACCAACAATGTCGTCGGAAACCTATAGTACATTATAAAGTTTTGAATTTAAAATCTAACTAATAATTCATTAAGGTGTTTTAAGTAGAGCACGAAGTAAACCAAAAGATTAAACTTGGTCCCCGATTAAATTCTCTTTACGCAACAATTTTGTAAAAAGCCGTAGCCAAAATCTCGAGTTCTAGCAAATTCCTTCAGGGACTGATTTTAATAGTTATGGGCCGAGCAATTTGGCGGTTATTCTAGTCTCAGATTCGAGGAAACGGACACAGAAACGAAACACAGCAAATTCGCTCTGATAAACTGTCTGGATTACAGATGGCGACCAGAGACCCTTGATAAATCGAAGCGACAAATAACAGTCGGCATCGCTTTACAGGATTTGGAAGGACGTCCGCGTCACGGGGCACATTAATTCAAAGGATCCGATTCGGTTAGATTGCCATTCCCTGTCGCCAATGCAACTTGACGTAATTGATTGATAGTGCGGGATTTTCATATTAACTTATATAGAACCTTTTTTGGAACGAAGTTCCTTATGGGACGATGCGGAGGGGTACCCTAACCGGGAAAAACGTCCGTAACGTAAGATTTTTTCTATATAGTTTGTTATCAACAGATGTCGCTGCACGTAAATTCAGCAATTCCTGAATCGCGGTGTCGAGATGTTACACAGATGATAGAACTTCTCGTATTTCTGGTATTTTATGAATCGTTGTGAATAAAATAAAGTGATAGCTTTGTAAAGTAGTTTTTTTTATCAATAAAAAAATCATAATAAAAAACTTATACCCGAATAATTATTTTCTTTACACCTCGAATAGAACTTGAAATTAATATTTTCATAATAAAGAACTTCGTTCCTATGCGGTGTCCCACGACACCACACTTTTTTTTTTCCTACCCCACTTGTACATTACTTCTCGGCCTACTTGGCGTTAAGTGGTTGCCAGAGCTCGTAGTCACAACAGCATGAACGTTGTAGTGGCAGAATATCGACTATGCCATCCTTCGAAACCGAAGGCATTACTGCTTCGCAACAAAAATTCGCATAATGGGGGTACTTACCCGTGCGGGCTAATATGCTTCCCCCACACTTGCATTTGAGTACTTATATTTATCTATAACGAAAAATTTTGCGTCATCGTGATTCCACAAATTCCTCAGAAGCTCTTAAAATAAATACTAAACACTTAATTGTTTGTTCGCAAATATGTTGAAAAACTCTACCAACAAAAATGTTGCTACAAAATTATTTTATCGTGAATGTTTTTTTTTTGTGATGCCGGTGGACGTTTTCATTTAATCTTTGTCATTTTGTCGATTATTCGCAGAACTTCTTTAGAGTATTCCAGAGTATTCCCGATCCTTCAAGAGTATCCCTCAGGAGTGTTCCACAAAGATTCCGAGAGTATTAGGAATCTTGGGATCGATATTTTGACCATGTAACTATACTGAGACCTTAGAACTTGTATCTCAAGGGGGGTGGCGCATTTACGTTGTAGATGTCTATAGTCTCCAATGACCACTTAACACCAGGTGGGCTGTGAGCTCGTCCACCCATCTAAGCAATAAATAAATAAAAACGATGTTCAGTATCGGAGTCAATCAGAAAGGTAATACCAAGTTCGCTTTTAAAACTTTGTGGATCCTCAAGAGACCGAACGGTACTTCAGTCCGGGACAAAAGCTGATCAAAGCCCAAGTGCAACCTGACGTGCTGCAATATTACCACATCTCTGGACTTAATTCTTCCAATTGGTCCATCCTGTAGTAATCCATTCACGGATTGTTTCGAAACTCTGTGTCCACGGAGATACTTTAGTTCTTTCTGTGTTTTGTGTTGTATAGTCTATTGGAGTGTCTAAAGGGTTGTTTGATCCCATCAGATCCATTTTAATATTTTACCACCCGCCACCGAAACAATACGTTCATACTATCTAAAACCATTGCTTTCATTCGTTGTCGGTTTTCAGAGATAGTTTTTTACCACGTATTGTTCAGGTTTGGAATGACCGTGGTAAAAAATTGCTTTCCATTACTTCTAGAAGGTTATGACAATTCATTATTCAAACAAATATGAATAAAGTCCTTCTTAGCTCTCTGATCAAAAGAGGCACAGCCGAGACGCTATCTATCTCTTGGTAGACAGTATTCTCTGTAGTTCTGATGTCCATGTACATCGTTATCGGCACTATGGACTGTCTGATCGTATTCTAAGGTGATGAAAAACACTGTGCAAGTAATAGAAGATTTAAGTCTGCTTTTCAGAAAGTATAGAAATGATATTTCTAGATATATTGTATATAAAACAATATTTGGAACTTTACTACGAGTATTGAACAAAAGAAGTTGTAAACATATTGCTTATAGCCATTATGAAACATTTGAAAGATCAAACATGTTTGATGCTCTCCATGTCGATACAAAAAAAAAATAATTCGAAATTGAGCATTTCGATAATTCGAAAAACAAAGATTATCTTTCTTATATTAAAATAAAAAAAAATTCAAATGTTTTACTCTTATTAAAACCTAGCTAAAATTAACGTAATCCGATGTAGGTGAAGATATTATTATTTTGTAAGTAAACATCAAACTGGTTCTAAGTTCTAAGTAATATTTGTTGATAGCTCTGTATTTATTACGTCCAAAAATAGTTACCATTTGCGATCTTAATCGATAATATTTAGACAGAAGCTATCTACTATCAGAAGAGTATTTTCTTGTGACCTGCAAATATTCTATTTGATGGAATAATAAAGTAGGCGAGTATAAGTTAATGGAGCCTGGCTATTTTATCCAAGGGAAATTCTCTATTTTGTGTCAAAACTAATCCTAATTGTTCGTGTTTTCTGATGCCAACTCTTGAAGGTACTTACATACCACAGGTAACGCTCCTATAACATGATATTTAACAGACTTCAAAAAAAGGAGGAGGTTCTCAATTCGACTGTTTTTTTTAAATGTTTGTCACCTCATAACTTTTGACTGGGTGAATCGATTTTGAAGATTCTTTTTTTTTTATTGCTTACATAGGTGGACGACCTCACAGCCCACCTGGTGTTAAGTGGTTACTGGAGCCCATTGACGTCCACAACGTAAATGCGCCACCCACCTTGAGATATAAGTTCTAAGGTTTCAATTATAGTTACAACGGCTGCCCCACCCTTCAAACCGAAACGCATTACTGCTTCACGGCAGAAATGGGCAGGGTGGTTGTACCCACCCGCGCGATCTCACAAGAGGTCCTACCATCAGTAATTACGCAAATTATAATTTTGCGGGTTTCATTTTTATTACACGATGTTATTCCTTCACCATGGAAATCAATCGTGAACATATGTTGAGTACGTATTTTATTAGAAAAATTGGTACCCGCCTGAGATTCGAACACCGGTGCATCGCTCAACACGAATGCACCGGACGTCTTATCCGTTAGGTCACGACGACTTCAAAATTAGAAAATTAGAAAGTTGACGCTTCTCTTGTGGTCCCGTATAAGTCTTAAATTTACATTAAGTACGTGCGCGACGATGTATAACTCAATAATTAAATATCACGCCAACCGATTTTGATGATATTTGTTTTGGAATATCTTTTTTTTCTATTTGAAGTCAGTTTTTGTTAAAGCATGTCTATTTATAATTATTTACAACACGATTCCATTCTAACACGAAAAGAAAAATTCCCCGGAACCATCTTATAACACGATACTTCTACAAGACGATAACGAGATCTTTGTTTATAATTATTTAGAAAATTACATTATGCAATATGAACACGCAGTTTAGGGGTATAATCGAAATTTTAGATAAAAAAAATATACACACAGGCATAGTTCATTCTGAAAAACTACTCTCCTTTTTCTACTGGCTTCTAGTCTCATATACCTAACACGATTCTCGCAAAACACGGGACTTTGTAGGAACCTATCTACCGTGTTATAGGTATACCTATATGTATTTACATTATAGTAATTTCTTCGATTTTCTCGAGTCGAAGACTACATTTACAGATCAATATCGAGATTATTATTGTCATTTTATTATTGTCAGCCTTTCGAATACTTAATAATTCTGGT